GAAATATAACCAACTTTTATTGATAATAAACGAAAATTTGGAACTTGTCCTTACAATGCAAAAAAATATGAAAACAATGTTTCTCGACATTTCCTAAGCAATCTATTAAGTTATCATAACTCCTAAGAAGTAGCTTCCAAAATCTGATCATCGAACCATGTGATAGAAATCCATCTCTCACGATCAGATTCAGCTTACTCTTCTTAAGCTTCATTCTTTCTCTTAGATTCTGCAAAACATCAAAATGTGATTATCACATCATGTATTAAGAATCTATGAATAGGAACTTAATAAAATAATGGAGTTAGATAGTGGATGTACCTGAAGTAAAGTCATACAACTTAACTTTATCATATCTGAGATCTTTCAGGTACTCAGGGCAGCTTCACATCCAATGTCCCTTCAATTTGCAATAGAAACATATGGACTCTTTGGGATCAGCACGTGGAACTATCTCAGAGTTAGCCTTTCTCTTTACCATATGGTCAAACGGTTTGACCTTGGCCGATCCATTTCCATTGGGAAGAGAAGTCTTTTCTGGACTACCATTGTTGCCATTATGAATGTCTATGGAAATTTGGGAGACATATCCTTCAAAAATATTTGCTTGACTTGTGCTCTTAAGCATTTCTGCTTCAACAGCAATCAACATATATGTTAGATCAATTAGGGTCACGTCGTGGTCCCTCACATAGTAGTCTTTAATGAGCTGACTATATGATTCAGAAAGCAAAAGTAGAACCAAGTCAATTGCCAGCTCCCTTGGGAAAACGACACCAAACATCCCCAATCTGTCAATGTGCAATTTCATTTTCAGAACATGTGCACATACATAATTTCCATCTTGATGTTTACATGCCAATAAGGCTTGAGTGACTTCGTATTTTTCAGCTTGAAGGAAACATGACTTGGGGAGAGTCACTGGAGGAGGTGGAGGAAGATTTGGAGAAGCATGATTTCCAGTTCCACCATTGCTTGAAGAAGGGAACAATCTTTCACCTTGATCAACATGTGGAAGATCATCTTTAGAGAGAGGAAAAACATTTCTAGAAAAACAAGGAAGATCATTGTTGTCTGGACTTGACATCTATAAAAGGGAGATAAGAGAATTCAAGTTAGTTGATTTTTAATCCTTAACTATTAACCCATAAATTTAAATTAAGTCTAGGATCCATATTTTCGATTCGAACTTTGAAGAGGGATGCCGTAATCAAATTCGAATCTATTTTAGGTAGGTAATGCATTTACCAGTTTCAAACTAGTTAAACTCCTAGTTCTTTTGAGATTCATTGAACTATTCAATGGCATGTTTAATCTCGATTATGCTCTCACTTTTGTGACTGGGATGTCGAGGATCACAAACGAGATGTAAATAATCATGCAAATTAGTCTGGTACTCTCGATGTCATTTATCATCTAATTAATGTGCCGGTTAGCCACACACACTCCATTAATCAATGATAATTTACGAGACACCCATTACCAACAATATTAGTCCATATGGTTGACCACAAACGCTCCACTAACGACTAATAAGGTGCAATTTGCAATTTCATGGATTAGCATCAAATTCACATTTTCCTAAAGTAACTAAGAGTGAGATTTTAGAAGATAGTTTAGTTACTTTATATCGCATTATACTTATTAATGAGATTTAATTTGTCCTATCGAACCCGTTCGGCTAACGACCCTCCACCAAGAGAGCGGTGTGTAAGAATGGATACTCAATGTCGGTCATTTTATAGACCGCTTCCTTAAACTCCCCTTATAGTATGACTTCGTGAATGAGTCGTACTAGCTGTTCGACTGACTTTTCTTATACATATAATATATATTTAACTTTTAATTATATACGTAGTATAAAGTGTATTTTAAACATCTTAAAATAACAAGAGTTTAATCCATTAATAAATTAAACCTTTAATTTAATTAAATTTAAACCATATAATGGATTTATTAATTTTCCTTTTAATTAATCACATAATTAAATTAAAAATAAAATCCATAAAGATGTATTTTAAATTTTTCAAAATACTATGTTTATAATAAACATTATATTAGTTGACATTAATTATTAAGTTCCATTAATATTGAAATTAATTATTTAAACACTTAAAAAATCAATCATATTAATCATTAAATAATTAATCAAGTCAAATATTAGTTTCTTAATTTCTAGGCATTCAAATCATCATGATATATATAGAAAAATTGGATTTAGCAATTAAATATAGCAGATAATTATCCAAGAAATTAAATACGGAAGATTTGGTCCAGATTTTCGGATCTGACCGAGCTCACGTCGTGAGCCTCATATCTCACATCGTGAGACCTGAATTATAGCAAACAAATTCGCATTAAACTGAGTTCACGTCGTGAGCCACTGTGCTCACGTCGTGAGTGGCAATTAAATCAAAAACAGGTTTCTTTTATGATTCACCAATGTGCAAATACATGAAAGACAACACAATGCACTAAGCGAAAAATTATTCAAACAATTCAAATAAATTAGGGCACATGCAACGTAGTTGGATATATGTCTTTCAAGAATATCAACATACTATGAACCCTCGGTTATAAAACTTTTCTATGATCTCATTGAGTCATAAGAATAGAAAACTAACCTTTAAGATTGTTATAGTAAACAATCTTTAATTCCTCCTTGAAAACCTTTGCTAGCAAGCGCCATAAGTGTCGCGCCTCTAATGGTTCACATACACACTTAGCAAGAGGATGAGATATGAGAGACGAGGAGGAAGGTTCAATTTTTTGCCACTCTTCATAGGGTTTCAGTTAGCCGAAATCAAGAGGGGTATAGCCCTTTATATAGTTGTGTTAGCTTAGAGCCAAAACTAGGGTTTTAAGGAGTAAACCTTAATTCCTTAGCTTAAGGCCTAAGCAGCCCAAGAACTCCATCCAAGAGGCCCTTGGACGAAATTTCTAGGGCATTCCTAGATGATTTCGTCCAAGCCATCTAGGAGGATTCTAGAGCCCAATTCCATAACTATCAATAAATTGCCAAACAACCCCTGCATTTTTAAATAATTCCTTTAATTCCAAATTAATTTCTGATTAAATATTAATTAAACAATATGATTTCCAATTAATATATTATTCCCATAATACATTAATAAATCATTCATTTCAATTTATTAATCAAATAACAAATTCTTCCTTTTTCTCAATAGATCATCCTGTCTAGTTGCTAGTATGAAGGCAACCTAAAAGGATTGTGCTACTATCAATTAAAGTTTATATCAATTATAGCTATGGGCTTAGACACCTAATCCAACATGAACACCTACACCAAAATCAATTTACAGAAATGAGAATACACACACTCTCTCAAATTGATTACCAGAAACAAACACACACACACACACAAACTCCAACATTCACTCTCACCTCTCTTGTATATTGGAAACTCTGGTGATGTTTTTCAAAGATCAGACCATCAAGAAATCTAAAAATTCGTTCTCACCTCACCCTTTCACTAATGGATAGTCTAGTTTGAAAATCTTTGTGGGAGAAGAAGACAAACCTCACTAATGCCATCAACGCCGCCGTTAGACGCCCCCACCTTCAAGAAATCAAGATCTGAAAATCTGTTCTCAACCCACCTCCAATCCATTCGATTCTGATGATGAAATCAATGAAAATTTAACCTAAACCTATAAAAAAAACCTCTTCTAAACCCACAATGTTGCATCAATTATCGAGGATGATCCCACCGCCAATTCTCCCACCCTCTGGGTCTGCTCAGATTATATGGTTTTCGTCGAAACCTCATTGTTTCAAATGGAGAAAGTGACACAAGAGGCTGGAGGAGATGAGAGACTTTGATTTTGGTGTTGTCTGAAATACAGATGTATAGGGGGTCCGAAGAGGTTGGGGCGACGGAGATGACTTGAGTTTAGATGAACAATATGAAGATCAGTTTTGATGAACATGGAGAGAGAGAGAGAGAGAGAGAGAGAGAGAGAGAGAGAGAGAAAGGGTCCACTCTTTATTTATTAATTATTAAAATAGATAAATATATATTAAATTAAAAAAATGAAAGAAAAATGAAAAATAAATACATGAGGGGCATTACAGTCATTTCAGTTTACCGACGGACCAGATATACATTGAAATTAGGCCAAAATGACCACCAATCCAAAAAAATTGAGGTTTGAACCAGACCTCAGAAAAATACATATCACAAGGACCATTTTTATAGTTTTGTCTAACATATATTAAAAAAATAAATTAGGTGATATAGACATTTTATGTCTTCCAAGGACCAAATAACAAAATCAAATCAAAAGGACCTTCCTGAGTTAAGAAATTGTTTCAAAGTTATGAATTAAATCGTTTTAGTAAACATTTAAATTTCTAATACTTAAAAATTAATGGTCCAAATTGGTTTTCAGGTTCTCAAATTTGATCATTATTCTCATGAGGCATCATATCTCGGTCTTCCGGTATCATTTGAATATGTTGCATCTCTTTAGTAGAAAATGCAAACTTTCACATATATTTTGGTTTCAAAAGGCCACATTCTTTTCCAATTAAGTTAATTAAATCGAAATTAAATAGGTTAAAAAGCAAACGAAGACCCTAATTAACTTTTTAACTAAGTTAATTACATTAGAATTAATTAGATCAAAAAAGCAATCAATGATCGTAATTACATAACTTCCTATTGATTCATTAGAATTAATTAGATTAAAAAGCAATCAATGACCGTAATTACATAACTTCCTATTGATTCAATATTCTTAAAACGTATAGGCATAAACACGTGTAATTATGTTAGAGTACATATTCAATAAGGCAATTTATGCTTAAAAAACTCGATTTTTCTTTTGTAATAATCTTTAATTTCAATTGTTAACATCTATAAATACCAAAAACATATAAACTAATATACATATTCAATTTGTATCTCTAAACTTGATCCATTTTGTATAATCATGAAATCTTTTGGTCTCCTAGTTACTCTTATGGTTATGTTGACCATGCTCGTGGGAAAAACATATTCAGTGGATTGCTACGTTCATGATATTGAGGATTGTGGTATATCACTACAAGACCCCAATATACCACCAACCGAAAAATGTTGTGATGAACTCAAACAACATATAGATTGTATTTGTCTATACAAACAACACTACTTCAAAATAGGTGACACCGTTCATGCTTGTCATATCGATTGGCATGCTATTTGTCCTTTATTACATAGATAGTTTATCCGTTGATCGATAAAACTTATTGTTTATATAGAGATTACATATGAATGACTCTTATGTTTACAAGATAACGTCCATCAATGTATTTTCTTTCAAAGATTCTTATCTTTAATACTATTCTTATTCTTTCTATTAAATTGGTGGGGATAGACCTTTAACAGACTCCGGGAGGCTCCTCCATGCCGTTAAGGAGAATGGAGCATTGTCCCACCTCCATGTTGTGTTAAGGCTCGTGGCCCTTGCAACATAGCTCAATGTATGGAAACTCAAAATGAAGAAGGTTTGCACCAATCATATGTTAGACTTTTAATTTTTATTTTTCTCTTTTTAATTCTTTTTCCTCTCAACTAGGGTGTGGAGGTGATATGGCAAACAAAATGACATGAAGGATGTGATCTATACCCACCAACCTAAGACATTAGTTTTAATTTTTCCTTTTGGTATTTGTCTTTGTCTGTGACTACATCAGGTTTTTTTTTTCAATGACTGATTAGTGGTTAAAAGTTAGTATCCCCAAGTTAGTAGGATTCGTCGAGCCCGGATTAGAACTTGGGAGATAATATTATCCGTGTGGACACGTGCACACCTACTTACAAACACAAACAATATCTTTCAATTCTTAAACAAATTAACTATTACAAATTTTACGACAACCGCATTAAACCACTACTAGAAAATAGGATAAGAGAGAACGATTGATTTTTAAAATATAATATGGAGGGTGAACTATATTCGATGGGGATGTATTATATTTGATGTATTATAATTATAATAGAGTACTGTTAAACAACCAAACCTTATCTATCACGCATTCCACAAGCATATAATACGAGTAATTTATCGTATTCTATTCCACAACATATAATACGACTATGTAATTAAAAATACACATTTACAAAGCAGCATTAACAAAGGAGCAAAACAATGGAAGTACATTGCTAACAAGGCATCACAATCAAAGGTAGCAAATTAACCAAAGAAAGCATATTGTTATAATTTGTTCAACATGCTAAAAACGCTATTCCAACTACAAATCAAAATATATACATTCCAATGAAGCAACCTTACCTCTCCGAGCACATCAAGCTTCAAACTTTCAAGCATCCAAATACTAAGAAAAAAAGTTCAAAATGAATTTCCAAATTCGAATGTTATAATATGAAAAACAAATAAATAAAAAAGGTACAATACCTTAATTAGTAGGGAAATCTCCAGAAAAGTTTCAATATTTTGGGAAAATTTAAAACAAAGTCCTAAATGATATTTTTTGAACAAAAAAGTCATGACCTTTTAACTTTTTGATTAAAAAATCTCAAAAAACCAACTAATTTATTCACTTTAGTCCTTTTTGATCTGTTCAGCAGGTCATGAAATCAAATTGTTAATTTTTCCAAAATAATGAGACTTTTCTGCAGATTTTGTCAAAATTTGTATATAATTATAAACGCATTTTTACGTATTTATATCTATTTTTACGTATTTATGTATTTTTTAAGTTTTATATGTATATGTGTACGTATTTTTATGTATTTTAAATGTATAAACATATTTTTTACGTATTTACATGTATTTTTAACCATTATATATAAATTTTTATATCTTTTGTGTGTTAGTTTTTATGTATTACGTATTTATATGTATTTTTATATATTTATGTATTTTTTAAGTTTTTTATATAGATGTTTATGTATTTTAAATGAATAAAGATATTTTTTACGTATTTATATGTATATTTAAGTGTTTTACATAATTTTTTTAATGTTTTTTTTATGTATTACGTATTTATATGTATTTTTACGTATTTATGTATTTTTTAAAGTTTTTTATATAGATGTTTATGTATTTTTATGTATTTTAAATATATAAACGTAATGTTTTATGTATTTATATGTATTTTTTTTAAGTATTTTACATATTTTTTTGTGTATTTTTATACGTTTTTTCTATGTATTACGTATTTATATGTATTTTTTACATATTTATGTATTTTTTTAGTTTTTTATATAGATGTGTATGTATTTTTATGTATTTTAAATGTATAATCGTATTATTTTTACATATTTATGTATTTTTTACTTCAAGTCGTATTCACCATTTTATCTAATTCTCATAGCTTCTTCAAGTATGTCTAGATGTGTAACACCCTTAAAAATACAACTCGAAAATTTTATTTTTAAGTTTAACAGTCATAAAATAAACCATATCATTTTTCCCAAAATCATGTAAACATAAAATAGTTTAGTTGTGCAATCCAGCGATACATATAAAATCATCATCAGAGTCATAATCCCAAAATCACTAATGCGGAAAATCATGGTGTGATGCGATGCGATCAAGCCGACCCTTTCCCCTTCGAGCTGGAAGTACCTGAAACCAAAACCGAAAACCGTAAGCACGAAGCTTAGTGAGTTTCCCCCCACCATACCACATACAAATCATAAACATACTGTCAGGCATATCTGGGTGCCCGACCTACCCTGCTGAGCATACCTAGGTGCTCAACCTACCCATGTCAGACATACCGGGGTGTCCGACCTACCCCTGTCAGGCATACCTCGGTGCCCGACCTACCCATCAATTTTATTCCAACCGATTACGGGGTCTATTTCACCCCCCTACCACTAGCACATAAATCATGTATATCACACATAAGCATCAATCAATACATACCACCTTAATAATTATCACAAAGACAATTACTAAGTCATACCAATACTAGTGGGTCGGCATTGGTGCCTTCGACCCACGATTTCTACGAAGGGGGACTCACCTCATTGTGTATGCCAAAATCGTACTCCTCGGCTGGCTCGTAACTGCTCTCCCTAAAGCATAGTAAATTCCCTAGTCAGTCATTGGGTCCAAATAAAACTCCCTTATGGCCCAAACTTCTAATTCATGTCCCAAGGCAAGGTTTCCTAACCCTTGGCCTATTGGGCCTCTTTCTCCCAAGGCCCAACTCTTAATTAAATTAAAGCCCAAGTCCATCCATTTAAGTTTCAAGGCCTAATAAGGCCCATTAAGGCCCAATACCATATATCCTAGGTCTAGGCCCAGAAGCCTTACTCCACAGTGGGTCATGAGGCCCAACTATATCAGGCCCAACATCCTAAGGCCCAAATACCCATTTATCCATTCTGCATGTGTATGCGCGGTGTACCTAGCATGTTCACCCAACGTACGCTGGTCTTGACCACTTCGGGGAGGTTGACCTAGTACGCGCAACGTACCAAGGGTACGCCCAACATACTGGCCAGTTTCCTTAGAACTCCTTTTGTGACTTAATCCATTAAGTCCTTACGTCCACAACATAGATCCAGGTCCTTTAAGACGTCCTAAACCATAAAGTTACAAAATTTATGTCTTTGCATGCATGGATGGGGGTTAAGACATGATTTAAGTCCTTAAACACACATTGTGACCATCTAACACTTGCATGGTTGTGGCTTAACCATCAAGGCTTGATTTTTATAACTCTAAATGCTTCTAAGAGCTCAAAAGGACAACTCTTATGGGCTGGAACTACCAGAACACAAGAAATCTCAACTATGGAGTCAAAATGTCACATAAAACACCCCAAAACTACAACTAGGCATGTAATGGTCAAGTTTAAAGCTTGATACCTCAAAAGTCAGAAAAGGTGCCAAACTCCTGGATCTATAAGCCCTTCTCACATTCTTGCTCCTTCTTCTAACTTCCTCTTCTTCAAAACCACCACAAATCACCCAAAAGTGCACCAAATTAGCTCACAAAGCATGCAAGAGGTCTAGGGTTCGATTTATACTCTTTATGGACAGTAGAGGCTGAGGGAATAAGGTTTGGGACGGAGTTAATGTCTTTATATATGGTGCAAACCCTGAAATTTAGGATTTGCAACTGGACAGGTTATGCCCAACGTACGCGAGGCTCCCCGCCGCTTCGCACCTCCATCATGTACGCCGCACGTAGACTATGTACGCCTAACGTACTGCCTTTCAAAAAGTTTCCATATTTAAACAATTAAATAAATCAAGGGAAATACATGGTGACTCGGATGTTACAAATCTTCCTCGCTTGAATTAGACTTCGTCCTCGAAGTTTGTTGCTGGTGCTGCTGCTGGGAATAACTCGGGGGTAATGCTCCCTCATCTCATCCTCTGGCTCCCACGTCCATTCCGAGCCCTTACGGTGCTGCCACTTCACCTTCATCAGTTCTACTTCCTTGTTTCTTAGATCCTTCGTCTTCTTGTCGAGAATGGCTTCAGGCCTCTCGATGTAGTTCAGGCGGTCATCCAGCTGTATGTCCTCCAACGGAACCACTGCAGAATCATCATCTATGCACTTCCGCAGCTACGAAACATGAAAAGTGTTGTGGATCTGCCTAAGCTCCTCCGGAAGGTCTAACCGATATGCTACCTTGCCCACCCGGGCTATCACCCTGAAAGGTCCGATATACCTGGGGCCCAGCTTGCCCCATTTTCTGAAGCGGATGACACCTTTCCAAAGTGACACCTTCAGAAGGACCATATCCCCGACTTGAAACTCCAAGTCCGATCGGCGTCTGTCGACATGGCTCTTCTGCCGACTCTGGGCCGTCTGGAGTCTACTCCGGACCTGGTGGATCTTCTCCGTCGTCATGAGTACCACCTCGGTACTCCCCATGACCCTCTGACCAACCTCACCCCAACATATTGGAGTCTTGCACTTCCTCCCGTAAAGCATCTCGAAGGGAGGCCGGTCGACACTGGCGTGGTAGCTAGTATTATAGGAAAACTCTGCCAAGGGGAGGTAGGTATCCCAGCTACCACCGAAATCTAGAACGCACGCCCGCATCATATCCTCCAAGGTCTGGATGGTCCGCTCGCTCTGACCATCCATCTGCGGGTAATAAGTCGTGCTGAAGTGCAGACGAGTCCCCAAATCATCATGAAATTTCTTCCAGAATCTGGAAGTGAACCGTACATCCCTATCAGAAATCATAGAAACTGGCACCCCGTGTCGAGCTACTACCTCCCTGATGTAGATGTCTATCAGCTTCTCGACCGAAATACTCTCCTGAATCGGTATGAAATGGGCGCTCTTGCTCAATCGATCCACGATGACCAATATCGCGTCAACTCCGTGCGTCGTCCGAGGTAACTTCGTAATGAAGTCCATGGTAATATCCTCCCATTTCCACATAGGGATATCCAATGGCTGCGTCTTGCCGTGAGGTCTCTGGTGTTCAGCCTTGACCTTCCTGGAGCTCAAGCACCTCTTGACGTACCACGCTAC